GTGTGTGTGTGTGTGTGTGTGTGTGTGTGTGTGTGTGGGAGAGAGAGAGAGGTCGTGTCTGTAATGTGAATGCAGCTGCAGCGCTGCATGTCAGAGGGAGGGGAGGGGGGAGTCGTTTTGTAATGAAAGCGTTCCCTGAATAGCCCGTCTCACTCCACGGTGGCAAAATTCCCACAATCCCTCGCCTCTAAATATTGACTTAATTCCAGGGATTTATGGGGACAGTTTTTTTTTTTTATTTCCCATAAAAATAGACTGCGGTGCCAGATATAACCTGTTTAGTTTGGACCTGAGCTCATAGCTGTATTGTGCCGGGTGTTAGTGTGTGTTCACATCATTTATAGTGGGGGTTCTGTAGAAAATATCTTACCTGCTGCAGATAAACCCTCTGCTTGGAAAAAAATTGTTTAATTCTGGTCGAGCTAATGAGCTCATTGAGGTCAATTATTCTTATTGCCCCAAAAAATATTTTTATTTTTGCTCATGTTTGTTGAATTTAGCTAAATTTTCAGAAAGTTTTCACCTGCATCATCTAGAAATGATTAATTTTGCAGTAAATCCAATCTGATGGCTGCCACAGCTATTAACAACCTTAAAGATAAAAATGATTCAAACGTTTTACAAATGTATAAAATTAGGTTGTTTGGTAGCCGACGGTCATTCTCAACACAAACTGTTTGTGCTTTATGAAGTCAGAACAGAACGGCTCTAAAAGTTCATCTTTTGTAAAAGTACATCCCTTCTGAAAGTTTCATTAAAGTCAGTGATTTTTGAGATATTTCGGCAGAGTTGTCAAAAGTATTCACGTTCATTGTAAGTAGAAGTATGTAGGGTTTAAAAATACTTTTTAGGAAGAAATATCAACTTAAGCTTTTTATTTAAAACCATAAAAGTAGCTTTAAAACTACTTAAAGTACAAAAGTAAAAGTAATGTAAAAATAAAAGCCATAAGGGATAAAAAAAATTATAGGCTGCACCACAGGGGTCAATAGAGCACAACCCAAAAAATGTAATAAAACATTAATGTTGACAATTTTTGGATGCACTGGTGTTTCAGCTGCACACACAATATATCTTTGCCACAGTCTGTGTTTTCTGATTGGTTCCTGGTGCTGATTTGTTGCAGCTGCAGCTCGTTCTCCTGATTGATTCCTGGGCTTTATAAGGCTTCACCTGCATTCTTGTCTTTGCTGGAGCATCACACCTTAATGGTCAGTAGCTTAGTTAAAGTTTGTGTTTACCTGCGGTACTTAACCTGTTTTACTGAAAATACCCAGACGTGCCTGTTGCTGCTGATTACTGAACTCTGAACCTGTTCTCCCCAGAACACCATACACTTGCCCCTGCTCTTCCCTTTCAGATCCGGACTCCTAACTGCTCCTGCTGAGCTTTTTTTGGATCTGGTTTCCTGAGTCTGTTTTGCTCCGGTGCTGCTCACATTAGACAAACTTGAATCTCTGATAAGGGCATCTAAAAATACAGATAACTGCATGAAAATATTAGGAGTAGTAATTCCTCCAGTAAGGCATAAATCAAAAAATTCTATATTTTTCAATTATTGATTCTATTGTTTACTCTTGTGCTTTTAGTGGATCATAATATTTTAATTTCCTGTTWAGAGCAGTGGGTTGGTGTTTGATGTTTAGCTCTGGAGCCTTAACTTAACTGGATACTGCGTTAACCTCTGTGGCTTCAGATCTATCTTCTTCCGATCCTCCCCACTGTGTGGCGTTCCTCATGGGTTATTCTTGGGTTCTCTCTTATTTTCTCTACCTGCTTCCACTTTGCTCCATCTGCAGGAAGCATGATATGTATTTCCACTGTTKTGCAAACACACAGATTTATCTACCTACCTTTTAGCAGAAAGAATGACCCATCAGTCAAACTTTGACTGTCTTAATGAAGTTCTGGCCTGGATGCTGGTGTTTTTTAAGCTTTATTGAAAATAAAACTGTTTTAGGTAATGCCTCTGTTTCTACCTATACTGTAGATCTTGGTTCCATTGCTCAATTTCTTAAGCTATTGTCACTAACTTAGGAATCAAATGCTAGCCTTATATAGTCAGATACAGGTAGTGGTGAAATCTAGTTCTATCATCTGAGGCAACTGGTTAAAATAAGACCAATTTTCCCAYAGCATCTATTTGAAACTATTGACTATGCTTTTATTGTACTGTTGGACAATTCTAATGCTCTGTATGGAATAGAATAAAATATGTCTTTATTGTCGTTACACACGTGCATAACAAGATTAGAGCCACTCCCACAGC